TAGTCAGTGCTGTAGGTTAGGCATTGCGCAGAGTCCCAGTCAATATTGTGGTTCGTAAGTCGATGATGTTCAGCAATGTGATTGTTGACATCACCTTTCCTCGTCGCCCGTCTGTGTTCAGTCAGTCTTGTTGCGAGGTTTCTGCCAGTCTCTCCGATGTAGGAGGCTTGGCAGTCGGAGCAATTGATCTTATAAATCGCTCCCTGTCTGTTCCTCGGTTCGTCCTTGTCTTTAACGTTGGTTAGTAACTGACGTAGTGTGGTGATGGGTTTGTGGGCGACGCGGATATTGAAGGGTTGTAAGATGCGCGAGATGTTCTCAGACATGCCTTTTATGTACGGTATGGTTGCTGTAGTCGTAGGAGTTGCGGTGTCGTTTGTTTCGGTAGTAGTAGTGGGTCGGTGAGTGTTTCGTCGGATGAAGTCGTCGTTGTAGTTGTTCTTTGAAAAAAACACGGTGAAGGTATTTGTTCTCGTCGGATAAGCTGTCTGTCGAGTCACATACTAGTTGCGCACGTCGTGTTAGAGTTCTGTTAGTTGTGGCTTCGTGTGATGTAGGGTTGTAGAATGACTCGTCTGGTAATCTGTCGGCGTGTGTCGGTTTCCTGTTAACTGTCGTCCGTAGTAAGTTGTCGTTACGGCTTACCAGACGTCTGGAAAAGGAAGTTTGCCCTACCGGCTCCATACAAACGACTCATTCACGACATAAACATCACAAACGAACCGAACCGACAGAACGACCAAATTTTACCGACGGATCGAAACAGACCGACTAAATGACCGACTTACGCCAATAGAGTCTTACAGCCAATAACATCACCGCAAAACTGACCACTCATTTTACACGAACTGAAGTAAGAACATTCTATTGACAACAACCATTCACTTGACTCTGATGATGACTTCCGCACAGGTTTTCGAAACGTCAGTCACTACCACCGACAACATTCCTTCTCAGGACTACACTCACCCGGACGATCAGACTACACTTTCACATGTCACCCCCGGATTCAAGCCATTTACTGCATAGTATACTTTAGCTTAAAATTGGCGCCCTTTCTCCGTATGGCCCATTACGGAAAGCCCCCCGCTCACCATCCTGTAGGAAGAAGCAAATGTGTTAGAATAAAACTAGAGCTGTCTGTAAAGGCAGTAATTCCTGACCTCTTTCACAGAATTTAGCTTTCAGTTGACATGGGATATTTTGTGCGGTTGTAGTTTAAATTGATTACGCAAAGTTGAAAGAGGATAAGGATTAAGTAAAGCCGTAATAACTTCGTTGCGTGACCAAAACTGTGTGTCAGAACGGCTCATAAGTAATTCATTGGAAATTGGATGTTTAAAAAGTGCGTGCAAAATCTTTGAATGAGTTACGTCTAGGTTTGTGTTTCTTTAAAGGCTTTTAAAATTTATCGTCAGAAGTCTGTGTCAATCTTAACCCAACTAATATTTTGTAGTTTTCTTCAAGTTCAGGGCAGTGTCGCATAACCTGCTTAGTTGGAGGCTTTGTTAGCGCTTCCAAACTGCGGCGAAAATAAGCAGTGAAGCCTCGAGAGGTTTGAGACGGAAATTGAGTACCAATTAAACTACCATACTGGCAGGCTACCTGCGAATGGCCCGAAACTCGACTTGAAATAACGTGACTTAGCTCTTATAAATGTTTTCTATCAGGTGATAGTTGTACAAGACTACTCGGTTGATGGATTTGTTATTTGAAAGGCACTAACGCAGATGTTCTTCTGTCTTTAACGTATATATTGTGCAGCTCTTTAAGGAAGTATTATAAAGTAACAATTGCGGTGAATTAAAGATTAAGGGTTTTACAACTGTGTGTTGTGTGTAGCCGAAAAAGATCGAGGAATTCCCTATCAGTTCCAAGCTTTGTCTTACCGTTGAATTCAGAAATCTTTTCAAAAAATTTGATCGATCTTCGTCTCAATTGACTTTAAAAGGAACCGATATGCATGTAGCTTTAACGGGTCGGCTTTTTAATTAAACTGCCAAGTAGAATAGAGGTGAATAGTTCAAGTGGTATGCAGCCCGAAGCCGGCTGTTTTCCTTTTATTCGTTAATGGAGAGTTCGGTGATGTCAGTTGACTTGTGTGCAATAAGTGGTAAAATAGAAATAATCGGATAATTAACAAATGGTAAACACCACAGCGTACACTATTGACTTATGGATGCACGCGGGAGGTTGCTAAGCACGAAAGAAGCGTAAGAGTCGCTCGAGGCGATAGCCGAGAGCGACTCTAGCTTCTTGAGTGCTTAGCAAACCTCCCAAGTGCATCCATAACTCAATAGTGTACGCTGTGGTGTTTACCATTTGTTTTATAACATAACGTTGATACATTGTAGCTAAAGAGTTCCCTTTTATTTAACAAATCTTACGCGACCAGAAAAAAACAAGCGCGCGCGAAAAAATAGTCTTTGCATTTGCTCACGTCAGCAGCGTACACCCATGGGCAAATGGCGGACGCTAAATTCACCAATCAGAGCGCGCGCTTTACTTTGGTTATGTTATAATAATGGATGGTAGTAGGACTGAGTAAGGTCCAATTCGGTCTGTAATAATACGAGTCATAACAAAATCGAACGACCGCGTGGCGGGAGTCCGTATTGTTCATCACGAGCATTACCAGTTGATTTTAAAAAAATTACAATTTCCGCGGAGAAAAGAAAAATAGCCAAGTTATGAAAGGAAGGGAAAATTTGCACGAAAAGACTGACAAAGAAGGCGTAGATTTAGACTTCAACTTTGAATGTGATTGGTTAATTTATACTACAACTTTAAAGATATATGGGTTATTGACCAAGCTTGTTCGGTCAAGATGGCTGGATATTGGCCGAGTTCTTTTTTTGCATTTTTATGGACTGAGACGCAGTCGTGGTCCCATAAAAATGCGGAAAAAGAACGAGGCTAATATCTAGCCATCCTGACCGAACAAGCTTAGTTAATAAAGGATTCATTATATTGCAAAAAGATTTCGCTTTATTAAGAATTAGGAATGACTTGTTTATTTTGAAAGTCGAGAAAGAAAGCCAACTGTATTTGTAGCACAACAAACTCACGAGAATTGTTTCTGTTTTCTTTGTTTGACTATCTTCTGCGCTTTTTGCATTTCCATCGCCGACATTGTACAAGAATCACGAACGTAGTTCTAATTCAAATGTTTTCATGCGCGAGATCGATGCGGGAATCCCGAGCGGGCAAGATGGGCTTATCTTGCCCGCTCGAGTAGCCAATCAGAACACAGGATTCGCTTCATCTCACCCACGGCGTTGCGAGCGATGTAAAAAGATGAGCTTATTGAACTGTCCGATAACAACTTGGCAAGTGAATTAGTGGAAATAAGAGTTTTTTAAACCAATCACAGTGAAGGAAAGTGTAATTTTTATTATTAGTAAGTTTGAAGTCTAGTTTTAGAATAAAAAACACGTTTAAAGAAAACGAAATATATGTACTTCAACAAAGGGGTCGATAGGTATTCTAAAAAAAAGAGCTCTTCGTGAGTTTAAAAACGATTTCTTTTGCAAACCCAAACTACATCGTGCAAGTTTTCAACAATACAAAATTACTGAAGTAAGTTTTTCTTTGCTCGGGCCTAATCCAGCTTAAAACCATTTCCGTAGCATAGATAGCAGAATGAACAAACACAGGCCGATTCATTGAGTCGTGTATCTTTATTTACCCAGTTTCACAGCTCCAGGTCATCAAATGTAAATGCAAATCATTTCTTTGACAAAATCTAATCAACCTCACATCACAATTACTCAGTCTGAAAACGACAGTTATGAGAAACATGGTTGTTAAGTCTTTCTTATAGCTTTCATATGAAGAGTGAAGTGATTTGTAATATGTTGCGAAAGATCTCATCGGCAAGTAGCGCATTTCTGACCATTTCCTCGAGTGGCCTCCTAATTTTATTCGAAACGTAGAAAGCTGTAGCATATCTTGCAGTGTCTCGTGGGGTAGAACTTGAATGGTGCCCCTACTAACTATTTTTTCCGCGGGTTGAGATTGCCTGTGATTACATGTTTATCGAATAAGTTTCTGATTCGCAAGTTGAAAAATGTGGCCTCTCCTGGTATATTTAACAATTTTTCGTTGAAGGAGAAGTGAAGATTAACTTCTTACCAACCGATCGTGAGGGCCTTGTTTTCGCGAAGTCGCGGCGGTAGATACAAAAACGACCGAGGGCCGGGCCAATCATTTCTCAGTAGGGCTCAAGCAGACGAGGTTAGTACTTGGCTTATCATTTGACACCCGAAGCAAACTTTTTTTTCTTTAATTTGCACCGCTTATGACCGTTTCCATGCAAGCACTGGAAACGTTTTGTATTTAGTTCTTATTAACCGAGCGGGAGGTCTGTATGGGAGAATCTTGACCGAGGTCGCCACTACAGTCCGAACGCAGTGCGGTCTGTACCAGCGACCGAGGTCAAGATTCTCCCATACAGACCGACCTAGCTCGGTTAATAAGATGTTTATTACATGGCTGTGTCTTATATGCCAATTTTTTATATTCTTTGTACCTTTTTTTCTAGACCGGTCTAGATGCCGGTCTAGATGGGAAAATCTAGACCGCTTTCAATATTGATTTCAGCCAATCAAATTCGTGAATTCGGTAGTTCCCAGTCCTTGTGAGACACAGCCATATAATAANGGCGTGTGTTCTCGGACTCGTTTATGTTCTGTGTTTTGTTTGTGTTAGGGGGCACCCACCTTTGTGGCGCGGATTCGTCACATGTGGCTGAAAAGCCCTGTCAAGGGAGCTTCAATAAAATGTATGTAGGTATGTATGTATGTATAGGCAATCAAACTCAGATGGTAATTATATTTCCATTGTTTTAATGCTGCAGAACTATCTCCTCATTGAGAAATGTTTTTGCCGGTTACTGAACAAAGCAGGCACACTTTGGCAGTCCATTTTCTATGCCGCCCTCCCCCCCCCCGGCTTAGATTGTTGGCGACGAGCGATCCCCCCTCCGTTCTCCCTTAAAAAGAGGGTCTCAGACATGTCAATGGGGAGATCATTGGTATTTACGGCGAACGGTTAAAATTTTGGCCAATTTAAGGCCAACGGTTGATAATTTCCCATTGTAGTAACCACACAAAATTTTTACAGTAATTTTTTTTGCTTTTACTTTTTTACGACTGGTGGTTAAAATTTGACAATTTGTCAATTTTTACGCCGAACGGTTAATTTTTTGGCCGTTTTACAGCTAGCGGTCAGAACCCCATTAAAACCCTCTGAAAATCATGTGATCGATCGGTCCCTAATGTTGGCCCTTACTGAATGCTTTTGGGGGACATTTATATCTTTAGGAGTTAACTTAAAATGTTATTTTAAGGAAGTTTTCTAACTAATAACGTTATCAGATACAATGAAATATATGAAGTTCATATATTTAGAACTGCGGTATTAGATACATATGATACACGATCCTCGCAGTAGATAGCGCTATTTAAGCAATAGCGAAAATCAGACCTGAAAAAAATCAGGCCTGTACGGGATTCGAACCACTGACCTCTGCGATGCTAGTGCAGCGCTCTACCAATTGAGCTAACAAGCCGAAAGCGAAATACAAAACAAGTAAGAACCAATAAGAACGTTCGGATTTACCTGTGGACTACCTTGCCATACGATACCTCGGATGAGAGCGAAATGAGTATTGACAGGCTGTCCATAAAGTACATCATTTTGTTTTAAGACGCCCCGTAACTTCACGAACCGTGCCACAACTATTTAAATTTGATTACGTCGCAAACATTTACGAAAATGACTCTCTGTCACGCGTCAATTACCAACGTCATCCTAGTTGTCTGAACGTCAGAGTTGTATCTTTTATTTACAATTGATTAAATATTTGACGGTTAAAACCGTACTTGATTCTTAAGATTGCTCGTGTGCCAGTAAACTTTTGCGTATCTTCGACTTGTTTTTCAAGTTTTTGGCAAAGGCTACATTTTTAAACTCTACCGAAGTGGATTTCGCCAAAATGTTCGTTCTTTGCGATGGTGCAATGTATAAGCGTAAGTCTGGAATTTTTCCCTGTAGCAAACTTGAATTTGAAATCAAAAACCTGTTTTTTGATCATTGCCTTCAAGCCGTTTATATTGGCTCATCAAAACGCAAGAAGTCGTTAAACTTCAAAGAGCTTTCCTGATTACAATTTCTTTTTCAGAATGTCAGGCGCTAAGTAACTACCACCTATTCGATATACGAGTAACTTGAAAATTCAACTTCACTTCTATTTTTTCTACACCTTTCTATGTTTTCTTCACCTTTCTATGTAGCGCAAATACGGAATCAAACTTTAAACACCTTTTAGTAAGCTACCAGATCAGAATATACGTAACATTAATTAGTTAAAATGTTTTAACGTAACTGGATAATGTTCTAGCGCGGGCTCTCATCTCCAACTGTTCTATTTCCTGTGCGGGAAGAACGCGGCTAAAACGACGCACATGAGAAACATATGGGAAGATTTCTCTTAATCCTTGTCTATAACTAGAACTGAACAGAAAATAAATACACGGGTTGATCGCACTGATTGAATGCGCGATAAAGTGAACAATAAATGCTGGGTTTGGATGCCCGCAATCCAGTGTTTCCCAGATGAAAAACTTCAGAAATACAAACGTTACAAATGGAGTCCAACATACGATGAAAACCAAAACTATGACAACACAAAGTTTCAAAATGGCATTGTTTCGCTTTTCGCGGAGTTTCCGCGCGTTTTCGCTTTGGTAATGCCCCGGGAATTGCTGCCGTTTCAAGCGAAGAACCACAGCGGTGTAAAGACATGCGATCACTGACAAAGGCAGAATAAAAAGCAGGATTGAAAGTACAACGAAGTAGAACTTCTGCGCCTTCATGTTGTCAAGAAGTGGCGACCAATTTAGTAAGCAGTGTATTTCACCATTGTAAACATAAAATCTATAAATGTAGAAGTACGGTGAATGAATGCCAATAGCGATCAGCCAAGTGAACGGTATTGCAATCTTAACTGGCGTTGAACTCATCACTGTTGCTTTAACTGGGTAGAAAACGCTGTAGAACCTATCGATTGCGATCAGAACCAAACTCTGCGTAGAGACCGCGGTGGAGATGTCTTGGAAGAATGGTATAAGCTTGCACAAGGCCAGGCCGAAATCCCCGTCAATGAGCCATTGGTTGGACTGTAAATAAACCCCACTAACCATCCGAGGCATAGCAAAAATAGGCAATAACAAATCAGACACGGCCATATTAGCTATCAGGTAACTGGTTGTGTTGTGCAGACTTTGTGTTTTGAAAATCACTAACACGATGGCAGAGTTTCCAAATAAAGAAATCAAGATAATGACAGCATACGCCAGTGTTTTTGCAATTTTGGCTTCCGTTGTTTCATGAAAAGAAGAGCACTGTTGAAGTGGATCGCTTAGATTTTGAGTCACGGAGGTTGAATTCATTCTCAAATTCGATGAAACCTCTCAAATAAATGTTTTTCCCCTCCTTCTTCCTTATATGTCCGCCACATGTCATCTTAAGATGAATCAATTACGTAAACAGGATTTGAAAAGAGGGTGTGAGGCATGAAGCCTAATTGCCTTTTTCTTCTCTAACTTCTGATAATTTGCACCAACCGTCAGTTCTTAACAAGCTTTTCTACACCGAACCTGTCGGCTCTTTGACTATTTACACTGTTGTCTGTAAGTCGTGGTTTTGGGAAGATTAAAAACCTTTACTTTAATTTGGTCGTGTTAACCACAATCTCCTCTGCTTTTCTGATGCCTCTTCTTGATAAATTTCTCTAATAAAGAACAAATTTTCCTTGACGAGTAAACAAGAACTGGGGTTTTAATTCCATTTCTATCAATCAAGACAATTGAAAGTGAAGAAAAGAGACGAATTAAATTTACAGTTTAACAGTAAGAGAAGTGAACTAATTTCCCTTTTAGTTAAAGAAGTGAATTTCGTTCCCTAACACAGTCAATAAAATAATCCGTTCATGGTTTATGTGTTCGACTTCTAGTTATCTGTTTTAACATTGGTAAAAACTTTAGCGCTGTAGAAAAAAAGGATCGAGATTAAATTTCGCTTTAATTGTATCACACCTGACAAAAAATAATTGCAACTCTCGCCAGATTTCTTTTTGTTCTCCAATGTACACACAGGGTCACTTCCGCGACAATTTTTTAATTACAGCTTTCATTACAAATATGTCTCCTATTTGAATATTCAAGTGTGTGTTTAAAGGCGTGAAAAGGGCAACACGAAATTTCTTAGATTAGATATTTGAAAGGTAATGGGTAGAATCCAATTTTTTATTGAAATTACAAAGGAAACTCGTATTAGCATTTGTTAACCTGGAAACTAAATAGTTGTCGTCTAAATTCTCCAGAGCATAGAAGCTCTGAGTAACCAGACGTAACCAGTACGCCGGATAAATTTGAAAATGGCGCGTTCACTCGGTAAAGGCAATAACTCTCAATAATTCTGCTTATACTGGTAAACAGATAAACCGTTACAAGTCCATACTACGACAAACAGCAAAAGTAGGAAAACCTCGTTACATCTCTACGCATGCGTGTAATAAGCGTCTACCTGTCCTTCCAACATTTTCGTCCCCAAGGTCTCTCGTTTCTACTTACCGTTCACAATGACATATACCGTTCACAAACCACGTAAGTGTAAGAAACGAGGAGTTTGGAAACGATCCCCAAAATACTTTGCCAAGAAGATACGTAAAACACAAAGCGCAGTCTACACAGTGTTTCGAAATGCTCCGTTTTTGGTAGTTGATTTATCACGATCTCGATTGAGGAATGAATATACTGTTTGCATACAAGCGACATGAACACGATGAAGAGGTTGACGTGGCCTTTTTGGAAGTTCGCAAGAATAAGAGCATTTAGAGGAAATATTTTACCTTGGAAATTTTCTCCAACTTTTTTTTCGACATGAAAAATCCCTCGCAAGATGAAACGCTTTTCGATAAAGCGTCGTTACACCAAAACCAGAGCGCGGGAAAATACAGGCGACCAAGTCGTGATTGGTTTTGGTTTTGCATCTGATTGGTTGAGACAGTAGCGCGAGTTTTCTGGACCAATCTCAGTAAAGCAAAAACAAAACATGCAATTTGCGTTTCTTTACCTTGCAATCCACTGTGCGCAGGTACTCTTCTTTCATTTCATTTTAACAACAAGGCAACTTGAAACAAGACTTTAGAATTTTTTACTATCTACATCTACACTTTAAATACTTTTTACATTCCACACCGGTCTACAATACTGAATAGCATTTATTTATTCTTTTCGATTAAAGATTTGTGTCCTACGCAAGTAATATCTAACCGTTTAGACCCTAACATCAGGACGTACATTCTCCATACTGTTCACTATACATTCCCTATAGTACTTACAAGGAGAATTTATTTAACCAAGAGCTGCTTCAGTGATCATTTCCTATATTCTCGTGACCTAAATGTTTGATTCAGTGATGATATTGTAAGGAGAATTTCGATGCTGGTCACTCGTAGGGCTTAAGGGTTAGTATACTTCTAAATCAGACCAGAAAACTCAAATTTAAATTAACCTGCGAGTCTCGACAATGCGCCCGTTTGACAGTGAATTTCGGACGTCATTTGGATTTTAAAAAAACCTTTGAGGTTTCTTCAAATTGTGGCAAAAAAGATATCGTGTGAGAAAACAATACCGTCTTGATCAAAAGGTCATCGGTTTTCATCGGTTTTCAACGGAAAACGTTACATGGGAATTTTGGATTAGTTCGAGTAAGAAAAGAAAAAGAAAAGAGAACTATGTTGTCGTTTTCAGAGACCAGATGAGCCCGCATTTTTCGTCCCTGAAGTTGCTAGGCAACATTAAATCATGGTGAGGATATTTGGACTATTTGTGGTATCTTAAGATTGGATAACAAAGATCGTTGGCTTTCTGAATAGCTTGACGAAGCTTTGAATAAAAATTTACAACTTCTTTTTGCCGTCTGTAAACGTTCTTCAGGTACCTTTAAATAGTTCACTTTACATAATAAACAGGGAATTTTTAAAAACCAAGTGCTGCCATAAACTCTTTCCTTTGAGCAATGCAGTAACCTGCATACAAAGGTACAATAAGGCTATGGTACCACAGACTTCCCATTATCTCTTCATTGGGGTTACTGTGGAGTAGTAAGTGTTTTCTCAATGAGTTTTGTCACACGTCGTGGAATGTAAAGTTCGCTCGTCGCAAGGGTGGCGAAGTAAAAGGTGAAAACCAAGAAATAGAAAAATATCCTCCAAATACGTCTTGAAGATTCTCATACCTGAAAAATAAAACAACCATCAAAATTTGTTTGATGGGGCATTCTACTGTACATGTCCGAGAGAAAGTTAGCCATCATTCCCGCAAACATCATCCCTTCATTGACAATCACTCACCCATCTCTAAAGAGATATATCTACGCTCTTCCCAGACTCCCGAGGCCGTGCTAACGCCGCAAAATTTGCATATCTAACCCCTACATTTCTCATTCCGATGTGTTATACCTCCTTGAGTAAAAACTGCCCAACACAATGGAAAATTCAGATACCCACTGTTTCAGTTTTTATCTGATTGGTCAAGAAGATTTTCTCAATCCATCATGGCCGAAAGCAGAGCAAAATAAATACATTCCCAATTTCATCTCAATGCTCATTTAAAATGGCTCTACCATATGACAAATTTAATCTAGTAGCGTAATAAATTGTATAGTAAATACAAATTGCAACACATGGAAAGTATCCCACAATACATTTAACTTACACAGTAGTCTTTTTAACAACTCTCTCCTTCTTTAAGTTTTCTATTCCCTGTAAAAACAGTAAGGGAAAAAATTGTAAGATTGGATAAGAGTAGATACGAAATTTGGGCTGAATTTTTAATGTATTTGAGTCCTTACCGTTTCATCTTTAACTATTGAGGATACTTGACTGCAGAACATAACAAGAGTGAAAATTCCAAACAGCAATCCTTCAAAGACTAGAAAAATCATCAATAAAATGGCTGAGGCTACTGGTAAAAAGGTGCAATCTGCAGAGAGAGATAGAGAGATAGAATGGCAGTTATTGGTTTGGTTGTGATGATAGTGCTTGCAAATGCCTGGTTATTCTAAAGGAGCTATTAATTATATCAGACAGAGCCCTCAAAAAGGGCCATGACCTGTAACACCCATTACAGCTGAGCTCGCTCTATTTTACGGGTGAAGATGGGCAGCGCTCTTTTGCTTTCACAGGAGCCAAACTCTGGAACTCTTTGAATGATAATAATATATAGATTCAGCCAAGCCTAAAAGCGGAGCTCCCAAGTTCGTAAAATAATGATAACATAAAAGATGTACATTTGCCAAGACTCGCCTGAGACACCCCACCCTTCATTTTGATAGTCTCCCCTACCCTACTTGTGCAATCTGAAGGCCCGTACATATGTACGTACACTCGGTCAGTCACATGACAACCAAACGAAAAGAGGTTGACCATATTCCATGGGTATGGGGCTCAGCTCCACGCACGCTTTGCACGTGTGGGAGCCCCACTATTAAATCCTTAAAATTCCCCAAGAATTTTATGCGMRKTTTTMSMYA